CATTCCTGCTCCCTGCATCTTAATGACTGGAGGATAACTGAGTTCAGCAACCAGGAACTCACCAAGAGGCAGAACAGGAGATTCTTACAGACTTAAACAGTTGGTTTTGCCCATACACACATCTGTACAGATCTACAGACTTCTGGTTACAATTCAACTTGTTGTAGCTTACAACAAAGTTAGGGTTTCTGCAATCCCACAAACCCCTCTATGCAATCAATTAATTCATCTCTTTAGGAGAAAAACATCCCACTTTTGAAATGCCTGTTGCCTGCAGCTCAGGCCTCAACATTTCTGAGGGTTCTGTCCTTGACACACATTTCTAGGAGGCAATACCTCTTCCCATTAGACAAATAATGAACTGAAAAGTAACACTTTCAATTACATGCAATAGCAAGTCTGACATACCAAATTACTTTTTTTTTTACACTGATAGCTTTGATTCTCACTTTCTCAGACTCACTCTGTTAACAAAGAATATTTGATTTACTAAATCCGTAATTTATCCAAGCACAAAACACAGTTTCATTGAGGCATCTCAAAATGATCTCTATTTATATCTGGATGAAAAGCTTCTCAAAAGGTAAATAAGTCTGAATTATCAACTGCAGAACTAATAAAGTATAACATATGGCCAAATACAGTTTTAAGAAAATGCAGAAAAGAAAGAAATATTCGGAATTCAGTTATTGAAAGAATATTCAGAGGAATTAAAGCTTTTGTACTGTGGGACTAGCTTTTTTTTTTCTATGCTTAAGTCTCCTGTTAAAGCCAATAAGAGTTTTGACTAAGTAGTGAATCTGTAAGAATGCAGCATGTTGCTTTTCACATAAAAAATGTTATGATGATTCACTGGAGGAGTCAATATTTTTAACAGATAACTTATCATACAAAATTCACTTTAAAAAGTACTTCTGTGATCATTGTTTTACAGTCAGTGCCTTATAAAATGGATCAATATTCCACGTTACAGGAAAGTGTTGAATTTTTTATGCACTTGATTAATGCATTGTTATCATCCCAGTAATTAAAAGGAGCGGCATTACACACAATCAGCATGATACATCTTACTCAGCACCTCCTGGCAGTTGCCTGCAAAAATTAAACTCATTAATCACTGTGATGCCAAGAAAGAAGCTTAGAAAAGATGAAGAAGCTCTGTTTTATGGGAAAAAAGTTCTCAAGTCAATGTGTAGAAGAAAATTCCTTCCACTGTACAATATGCAAAGCATTTATCTCATCAGTCTAAAAGGTAAACCAATCAAAATTATCATTTAAAAGATAACCTCATCAATCTAAAAGAGAGAATTATGCTAACACAATTGTTCATAACCTGCTATACCACCACACTAAACTGCACAAAGAGTTGTCACAGATGTTCCTCATCTAAATAAATGTAGTGAAAAGCTAATCTTATAACAAGGTAAATATGGCATCAGAATTTTGTTTAGAGCTGTTGCAATAACTTTAACATCAATAATGCCACAGGGCCAACTAGCAAGTGTTTTTCTGGAGTCATTTATACAGAACCTAGTTTCCTTATTACTCCTCCCATACATAACATTATTGTCTCAACAGACGAAAAATTAACATGAAAAGTTTGCAGGGCTTTACCTAGGTTTTGTTCAGTAGTTTGGTCTACTACATATATATATATATATATATATATATATATATATATTCTCATATACCTGCCATGAGTTGAATCATAGTAAAAACTATTTAAGATTCTGAAGAATGCTGTGATTTTTACTTTGCTATATTTTTATGTTACTAAAACAATGTTCTTAAGTGTGTCTCAGTGGTGTCTGTAAGTCATCAGCTGTCATATAAAATCATTATTGGTTTTGATTTGAATTTTGTTAGGGAGTTACTACCTCCTCTTTAAATCTGTATAGGTTTCAAGTAGTATTTTTCCACCAGTAGTACTTCCAGTGGACAGAATGCTTACTTACAATACTGTGACCTTCAAAGGCAAGATTCTGCCTTTCCCTCTGTTTTTTTCTGCATTGAGGTCTGTGCTAGTGCTTAAAAATACAGTGCTGAATGCAGCACACATATTTCAATAGGAAAAGTCATCATCAGTAACCCATAAAATACTCTCCATTCTTTCCCTATTATTAATCACACGACAAAGTTAGGAACAGAACAGTCTCATCCTCAGTTTTGTTTTGATATTTCCAAGTATGGGAATGGAGAAAAACTCTTTGTTTCTATATGTTTAAGTTCTGGGTTTTCCTAATACATTGAAGTCAGAAGATGAAAGACGACACGAATGTCCCACTTGTGTGAAACAGAAAACAGAAGTCCAGTCTTAGAAAAGAGTTTCCAATGCTGTCTCCTTAAGCCTTTCCCCATGACAAGCAATAGCGCACACTCCTGGCACCTTGCACAAACAGACCACTCTCCTTGTACTTCTCCCACTGTCTTTGACAGCTCTCTGCCTCACTTTCCCCCTTTCCTCGAGGGTCTCATGCCCAGGGCTGCATTTGCTCATTCTGAGTGATCCTGACTCCTGACGCTCTGTCTCTGCTGATCTCGCCACAGACTAGGGTGACAGATCACTGTCAGCTCACCTTGGCACAGGTCCTAGGAGTGTTTGGGAGAACAAACAGCTCCTCCTCCCCGGATCAGGAGTAGTTTGGCACCACGGACAGCTCCATCTGACCCGGGACAGGAGGGGTTCGGCACCGCGGACAGCTCCATCTGACCCGGGATCAGGAGGGGTTCGGCACCGCGGACAGCTCCATCTGACCCGGGATCAGGAGGGGTTCGGCACCGCGGACAGCTCCATCTGACCCGGGACAGGAGGGGTTCGGCACCGCGGACAGCTCCATCTGACCCGGGACAGGAGGGGTTCGGCACCGCGGACAGCTCCCCCGTCCCGGCCCCTCCTGCCGCGCCTTGCCCCGCGGGCCGGACCCCGGCTCCATGAAACACGGTTTACGGCACGACCATTCCCACTGGTTTGTCATGACTTCATCCTCTCGACCTGAACCCTCTGCCGGAGACCACAGCTCAGGCTGCCCGCTCTCTGCGGGAAGGGAGCACCCGTGAACTGCCGACCCAAGGAAATTTCTCAGACAGGCTGCCCCCTTTAGAAATATTCAAACTAAGTCACCCCAAATCCCTGTTTCTGGCCACACTTTTTTGCACTTCGTTGCAGAAGACACTGGGCAGGCACAGACAGCAGTGTCCCTCAACAGACAGCAATGCCCAGCAGCGCTCTTCACCCACACAACTCTGAGGGGATGGAGGGGAAAAGAAAAGAAAGGGGGGGGGGGGGGAAGCAACATGGAAAAACTTTCCTTTTAGAATAAAGGATGTTCTTATTAATATTATTTTGGAGCCTGTCAGCAGAATTCACTCGCACATGCTAAACTGCAGGCTTTCCTCTGCTTCCGGACTCAGCGCTTCTGGTGACCAGAGAAGCGGCTCCAGACATCTGCTGTCTCCAAATCCAGGAAAGCGAAATAAAAACAAAAATGTGCCTGAGCCCAGCCCTGGAGGTGGCACAGCGCTGGCTCGCAGCGACATCTAGAGCCCAGCACACGGCCGGGAAGGGCCCCGTGTCCCCAGCCACTCCGGGAGAGTGTCACGAGTGGGTGCGGGCTCCCGGGAAAGGGGCCCGGTGTCATCCTGCAGCTGGCCAGGAACAAGGAGAGGCAGTGCCAAGATCGTTGCCAGTAAGCGGGTCACAGGGAAGAGTCAATTCAGGTCCCTGTCACTGCTGTCCCCCGGGGCTGTCAGCGTTCAATCACCTCGGGGAGAGGTTTAGGTCGATTGGCCCCATCTCTGACAGAAGTGCACTTGCTTTATGGACCACAAAAGCCTCTACGAAAGGACGGGAGAATGGACAGGGGTTTAAGAGATAATCCGAGGACATTTCCCTGCATACACAACTCTCTCCTCTGAGTGAAGCAGCCCTGCTGTTTGTGGCTTGAAGCTGTGCCTTGCTTGGGAAGGCTCCCAGAGCCAAAGCTAAACCCTGCTGCAAAGCTAACGCGTCCCACTCGGGCAAGAAGTATTTTTAACAGGCACAAACATTATTCCCAACTGCAGCCATTTGCTTCCCCTTGTGTGTGCTTCCACAGAGGCAAAACACACTCAAATCCCTCTGCAAACCTAACACCAGCCAGCCATGCGGAGCCACATGTTTTGATCTATCACTGGCCCTTGTTCTCTCAGCCTTCCTGCTTTCCAAATCCCCTGTCCCCCTCCTCGCCAGCCCGAAAGAACCAGGGGCAATCGACCCAGACTAGTTTAACTCCATCGGACACAGCAGGCAGCCAGCGGCCTGCATTAGTCACTCGTTACTAAGGCGATATGCAGATGCACCCTTTGAAGTGACTGCTCTCGGAAGGTGCGCGGCCGAAGTTTTCGGCTCCCCGCGGGGCTCGCCCGGGGGCAACGGGGAGGTGGGGGAGAGAGAGACCCTGAAACGGCTGCTCAGGGGTTAAAAAGTTTCCCTGCTGCCAGGTTAGGGAAAGGCCGACAGGAAAGAGAAGAGGGAGGGACAAGGTGAAGATTTCTGCCCCGGCAGTGTTAAAGGGTAAAACACGGAATAAAAATAAAACAAAAATAAAAAAAAATTTAAAACAACGAAAAGGGGGGGGGTGGGGAGCCTTGTCGTGCAGCTTGGGGACAGCCGGACGGAGTTGGCATTTGGCATTTGTGAAGGTGATGACCCTGGGCCCCCCAGCCCCGCTCCACGGGAGCGGAGAGCCGTGCAAGGAGCTCGGTAACGGGGAGAGCTGCGGGCACAGCGCGGGGACGGGCGAGTCCGGGCTCCGCTCCACTCCCAGCGGGCTCCGTCCCGTACAATTCCCGGCACTTCAGGGGAAGAAGAGGAGCGCCAAGACCCGCCTGGAAGAGCGGACAAACCGCAAGAAATCGCTGCCAGCTTAGAGGGGCACCCAGCCATCCCGCAGGACAGGGGGCGGGGATGGGGGGGCACCCAAAACCCAACCCAGCCCCACGCGAACGACACCGGCGCTTACATCCTCCTCCTCGCAGTCACTTCGCGACTGGTACTGGAAGCGGGGCCGGCTGCCTTCCTGTTGCAATGGACGCGGGGTCTTGCCGGCAGCGCCGTCCTCCTCGCTGCTCTGGGCGCCCAGGAGGTGACTCGCTTCGGGGGGAACGGGGAACGAGCGGGAGGTGTTGATCTTCCCGCTGAACCGCTGGTACAGTGAAGCCATGAAGTCAATCCGCGGGAAACGAGGGAGAGGGAGGGAAAGAGAGCCGCTTCTTTTTTTTTCTTCCCCTCCTCTCTTCTTTTTTGGCTACAGCATGCTACACGCGGGTGAGGATCAGTCCCACATCAGTGGGAGGGAGAGCGAGGGATCCGGCTCCCCGGTGCTCTGCACCGGCACCCGGAGAGAAGCCGGGGGTTTCAAGAGAGCAGAGACGGGGGAGTGATGAGAGGAAGAAGAGAGAAGACAGATAAATAAATAATAAAACGCAATCGAGCCGTAACACCACAGGCCCCAGGAATGCTGCACCATCCAGTGTTGGGAAGGAAAAAAAATAGAAGAGAGGAAAAAAAAGAGAACCAAAACACTCCACGAAGACGTACCCCCGATAATGGCGACTGAGTGGATCAGCATTAAATGTGCTTTGGGGGTGTGCGTGTGTGTTTGCAAAAGCAGGGGGAAAAAAAAAAAAGAAGGAAGGGGGGCTGGCTCAATCGCTGGCTGTCAGCGGCTCCCCAGGCAGAGGTGGCGGAGCAGTCGCCTCCGAGGTCGCATACCAACAGTGTGCACAAGCGAGAGGCAGAGTGACAGAGTGTGTGAGACGGAGTGGAAGAGGCTGGGATGCCTCATTCAAAGCACGTTGCTCTTCTTGGGAAGGAGGGCTCTTCTACGATCATCTCATTTTCGGTACCTTCTGGGGGTTATTTTTTTTTCCCGGGGAAACAACTCAAAAAAAAAAAAAAAAAAAAAAAAAAAAAAAAAAAAAGAGGCAATAGACACCTGATCGCCAGCCGAGAGAGAGAAAAGGAGGTGGGGAGGGGGAAGGCGAGGCTGGAAGGCGGGACCGGCAGCTGGAGGGGCTCTCGGAGGCCGCTGTGCGCGGAGTGGCTCGGCCCCGAGGAAGGGGCGAGGGAGGGAGGGAGAGCAAAGCCTCCCCACTGCCCTGCCCTGCCCTGCCCCAGCGGGCACGGCTCAGCCCGGCGAGCGGGCACTGCCCGCTCCCTGTCCCCTCCGCCCGTCCTCCTTCCCCCCACGGCCGGAGAGAGGAGGGACGAGAGGGGGCTTGCGGGTTTTTTGGAGGTGGTCGTCGTCGTCGCTTTTAAAATAATTCGGTAAATCGTGTCTCTTACTATTTTTGTATTAATTCATTTTTTGCTGCATTAAAACGTGCTTCAGCGCCCCTCAGTGGAAATCCGCCCAAAGCTGCTCTCGGCAGCTCTGGCCGGGGATAAACAACCGCGATCCCGGCGCCGGGGATGGATCCGGGGGTGGGCTGGGGCTGGGGCCGGGGCTGGGGCTGGAGTCGGGGGCAGGGTTGGGGTGGGGGTCGGGGTCGGATCCGGAGCCGGGACACACCGGGAACCCCCTCCACAGCCTTTGCTCGGGGCGGCCAGACCCCGCTCCCCCAGCCCGGGAACCGCGGCCGCCGCTCCGGGAGGGGACACCGGGCACTGCTGGGGCCGGGACACCGGGCACCGCTCTGGCTGGGACACCCAGCACTGCTGGGACTGGGACACCGGGCACTGCTGGGGCCGGGACGTCGGGCACTGCTGGGACTGGGACATCGGGCACTGCTGGGGCCGGGACACCGGGCACTGTTGGGGCAGGGACACCCAGCACTGTTGGGGCAGGGACACCGGGCACTGCTCGGGTCGGCACTGCGGAGTTGCCAGAGTGGTCCTGCCCCGTCAGCCCGGCACGGCTGTTCGGGACAGAGGGTGACAATTCCCCTTGCTCCAGCATCAGACACCGGGGTTTCCATAGTAACAGATGCTTAGGTTTAAAGGAAAGTGGCAGAGTTGCTGTCCCCTCTTCTGCTCTCCAAAATCCTCCCCTTTGACCTCTAAATTTGCCTGAGATATTTGGATCACAACACACAAAGCATAAAGCAGTGTTTGCCCATTCTTACTGAGAAACTTGCTGAAGAGCTCACAAACTTCATTATAACTTAACTAGTGGATTTTAGGGGCTACAATTCTGTTTCTAAACACTGCTCTTGCTTAAAGTTTTAGCTGTTAAGATAATACCATCTTGCCCATAATACCATCTCTGATAATACCATCAGTCTTAAAAAAAAAAAACCACTTCAGTAGATCACGTATACAATATTCTAAAGTGCAACAATTCCCCCCTCCATGATTTCAATAACTGCCTGATCAAAAATCTCTTTGTGTCTGAACAGTTTAATCCACTCCTTTTTATTTGTGTCTTCAAAGTCATGCATGAAAAGTCTTAACATTTAGATGAAAAGGGAACCTTATCTCATCAAGAGAGAAAACAAAAACAATTGCTCTATCTCCTGACGGAACTTAAAAGAAGGAATCATTTTGATCTTCACAACTGAGATCCTGACATTTAATTAAAAAACAAGATGAGCGCACAATGCTCTGAAGCAAAGGTCTGGCTTCTAAGTCATAGTGACATCGATCATAACAGAGGTAACTTTCCAGAGCTGACTTGGACCCCTTGTAATTTCTGTTTCAGACACAAATTGACTACTGAAAATCTGGACACATAGCTCAGCTAAATTCCACCTTGAAATGTATTAATGATATTTGAAAACAGCATGACTTTATGATATTTGGAGTTGGTGACAACAAGCGCTGAAAAAAAAGGAGCAAGAGAATAAAATTAAAAGAAATAATACATTTTTAACTTCTAAGGAAAAACTAGGACACACAGGAATAATCAAAGAAAGCCACAAAAAGGCTAGGCGAAACCACTAGGCAGGAAAAACCACCAAAGATTAAATGTCTGAATTAAAAAGTTTCAAAGAAAGTACAGAAAAAAGAAAACATTCAGCATCACAGCCCAGTTCAAAACCAAAAGAGCCTCTAAGGACAAATTCAGATCCAAATACATTGCTTGTTGTTCTAATTCTTACGAACCAAGATTTCACATAATTGAGTTTGCTTAATCATGCACACACATATATTGGGCATGTATGTGTGTACACAATTCATGGAAAAATTATATTAAGGGAACACAGAATTGCAAAATCAAATACTTGAAAAGCTCAGTAAAAGGCAAACAGCCAAATGGTCCTTATTCACCAAAAGATCCTGATCATGTAGCTTTTGGCTGTGATTCATCCACCCAAAAATAAATAATTACAGCTATTTAAAGTAATTTCTGATTCCAGCTCTCCCCTCCAAGACAGACCAGGGGCAGCAGAAACAATTTAATGTCGTGTTCTGGGTATCATGGTGGGTGAAGGAAGACGGTTTGCACCAAGACATTTCTGTCACCCTGCTACAGCCAGAGTGACCTTGTGTGGAAGGGCTGAGCAGGCAGCTGGAGGCAGAAATATCTTGAATAACCCCTTGCAACAAGATGCACCAGGATCAGTCTGTCGATGCCATTGCTGAAAGCAGGAGGATTTTTCTGAGTCATAGGAGACCCAGATGATTGCATTAGGGACTCTGGAGAGCACTCCAGCCTGCCTGTGCACAAGTTATCTCAGGATGTAGCTTGTCCTGCAAACGTGTTATGGTAGTCCTGCCTGCTAGGGAGGGACAGGGCTCCTGAGGCACTGCTCAGTGCTGGAAGCACCTCTACCCTCCACCTGAAAGTCTGTGGCTAATTTGCAGTTCATTTGTGCATGACTGGGAGCCCAGAGTCCTCTACAATGTGCTGGTGATGTGTATGGCACTGGCATACAACGTGCACATCAACGGGGCATGGAAAGCACGGAGCCAAAACAAAGAAACACAGCAAACATCGAGACATGGCAGCAAAATGGCACCAAACAAACTGTACATCAAGAACCGGGCTTGCATTGCAGCAAAACACCTTTCCAGCCCATGGCAAGATTTGAGGAGAAGTGAGCAATTTACGTTATGGAACGTGTGTAAAGGAGCAAAATATTTCAAAAGTATGAAGGTAAGGTCCTTGTCTTTAAACACACATCCTACATGTAAGGAAAATCCTTTCCCTAAACCCTGCAATGAGATCCCAAGATAAAAATCAAGGCACTTCAAAACAAAGTGTCCTCAAGAATCTTTTAGTTGTATATTTAATTCAGTATCCAAAGTTTTGAAGGGAGGTTTGATTCCTAACTAGTGACATTTCCATCAAAATAAAGTGTGTTAGTTAAGACATTTTCCCTGCAGCACCAAAGTATTTTACTGACATTTTTAAAGCATTCAGATAAAAATGACATTTTTTTCTCCCCATGTTGTATAAATAAACAGTGTCCCCATATTTCAGCACTATTAATGTAACACAATCAAAAGCAGGTCAAACCCAAGCCCTACTGCCTTTAAAACTTTACATTAAATATTTTTTTTCAGACAAATCAGCTCAGAATAACACTGGCAAGGAAACAATCCAGCAACATTACTCGTGGATATTTTTCATTTAGATATAACTTCTATCTGTCATGGAATTCATGCATTGTTATTCATATTCCATTCTTCTATTCCGACAAAGCAATTTATGAGCTTGCCATCTAAATAATATAGAGTTTGTTGCAGACAGAGCTAAACATGTTTCTAGTTTTCAAGTGATGATAGTTATTAAGTAGCTGATTAGTGGGTTTTTAAACAAAAGGTAATTGTTCAACAGTTCAAGTACACTTTTTATTATTTGAACTATTATACTTTCATTTTCCAATTAACTTGTAAAGGAATTTTAGAATTTCCTGATTTTTTTTATATCACTCCTGAGAAGGCCAAGTGTGTATTTTCTCTAAAAATGACTATATTTATTAAGATAAAACATCTGGGATTTTTATAATAGCACCTGTCTTAGCACTAGAGGGACAAAGATACAATATTTTAACGTGCATTACCATGATCAGCCAAGATAAAATCATCCAGCTCATGAATCTCAAATGGCCCAAGGCTTATGCCTTCTATACATCTGTTGCCTGGTGTCAACTAAAAACCCAACCAAACCAGAACAGGAAATTCTTTTCCTGTGTCAAATGCACCAATTCAGCAGTCCCTGAGGATGCACTTGATCATTCATTTTGATCTAATGGGTGTGCTGGGGGCAGCATTGCC